TGCTACAACACTGCCCTCTTGCTGGGCCCAGTGGGTATAAGTACGGTACCAGGAGGCGAACAGCTCCAAAGACGCTCGCGTCCTTTCTTTCTCAGTGGCTACCTGAGTTACAGCCGACAACGACCGACAACGCACCTCTATACGAGTGAGCCGGTGTCGAGAGCAAGCATGCGGCCTATGGTGAGTGCTGACCATGTTTCTACCACGAGTACTTCTCTCTGTAACCTTGCAGTTTGGACTTGACGGGCCCCCGGGAGCTCAGGCCTCGCCCTGCGGCCCTGATGTTCAGACAATGCGTTTGTCAAGTCAGTGTTAGTGTATCACGGAAAAGAAAAAAAAACGAATAGGAGGGTATTGAATACGTGCTTCACAAATTCCTAATGCAGCTTTATAACAGTACATGGTGTGAAATAGTTGACGTGTAGGGAATACCAGCTGGAAAAATTACGTGGTATCGGATATTCTATGTGTACATCAAATTAGATTACTAATTGTACTTGAATTATTATATTCATATAAAAGATAAATAATTTAAAAATTGAGGTTACACAAAATGAGTTATTTTTTTGCAGTGCCTAAGAATGAAGGCGAATTAAAATAAATAACTAGAAGCATGAAAGCTTTCTAGTAAACAAAACCGGAGTATTCTGGAACTAAAGAGCAAACCTGTGCAATCCTCTTTATGTTGGCTTTGGCAGATAGCAGTGATATACAGTTCAAAAATCACGCCAATTTACAATGAGCCATTCTTTAGCAAGCTGCCGCTTATGCACTTCACCGATCAAGACTGGTGCTGAGGTATTTCACTGCTGCTCTCACTGTTAGGAGTAATAGAATTGAAAGATGAGCCTCACAAGGCAGTAAATATTGCGAAATCCTAAAGCAGCGTACGCTGTTTTTCTGCCAACGCGAGCGCTTTGTGTAAACTCACTCAGCAAGGGTCAGTTAACTCGATAGCATGACAACGTAGGCACTATATCACGGTTAGAAACAAAAAAGAGAAAGAGCCATGAGAAGCGTTATAGATGAAAGTTTGTTGTTTGTCTTGAAGCGCTTGTTTTTAGGAAGACAAAGAGCAGTAGTGAAGATATTTTGAGTGACTGACTAGTAGAATAGTCAGCCAGGCGTAACAATAATCCCCTCGGGAAGAACCTTCCATCCGACAGAGGAAGCTTGAAGATGCACCAGAAAACGTATAAGGATGTCCGGAAACTGTTTCTGGCATTCGGAGTAGGTAGGAACTGAGCTCCATTAGGACAGAGCATTGTTTTCAAAAGGAGACCACACGCCCGCTTTTTCATCGCAAACATTTCCTACATGCCTGGTGGGGGATGTATATTCGATCTGTTTTTTTTTTCTGATTTTAACATCTTGGCACAGGTTTCTATTAGAGGCCGTACCAAGTACTTCCGCTTCTTTTTCACTCACTCCAAACTAATACTGTTCATTTCGATGGCTTTATTGATATGAGCTAGTATAACTGCTACGATTTTCATACAGCTGACGGTCATAGAATAGTCAAATCTACTCTCTTTGAAACGAATATTCTAAACGACGTCAGCAGCAGTTATGCTGCATGCCCACCTATGATCAGCAGAAAAAAAAACAGTAGTTTTATCTTGTACCCTTTTCATTATTTACGCAACAACTCTCAATATCTCAGGTTATATAATGAAATGTTGTGGTACACTGGAGGCTACCCATGTTGGTAGTGAACATAGATGGTCATCGCATCTCCCATCGCGAGCCTTCTTTACGTTGAACGAAGTTTCTCCAGATGTCATCTTTTACTGTGGCGACAGTTGCACGAATGCTCTAGGCTAAAAAAAAAAAACACCGCTGGTATTGTCGATGTGATGTTCGGAACAATTGCGTATGCGCAGCATGCAAGCCTCGTGTCAGTTGACCTACAAAGGCGATAAATCGATGGCATCAACGATTGGAATGTAAAGTAAGCTTGATGCTAAGCAATATCGTTTAGGTTACTTTTGCACGCACACTTGCTTTTCTGCTGAGGTGTATGTTCTGTACTGAGCAGAAAGCGTAAAGTTAACATAGCTTATAACTTCCCTGGAAGTTAGTAGAGCAATTTCTTGAGTGTATGACGGTGCATCTCACGCACAATGAACGGTTGACAACTGCATCACCGCTAAAAAATCTCAGCCCGCCAGTCGGTGGCGTCGTTCGCTGCTAGAGTCGGTGCAGCGGTGATTCCGAGAGGTGTCTGGTGACAGCAAGGATGCTCTTTATATCGGCGCAGCCGGCCTTACCTCATGTTCTGCGTCGTACGAACATCTCGGATCTTCTTGTGCGGTAGTTTTTTCATATTCCGTGTAGAAAACATTACTTTAGAGCCACCTAAGCACAGTCAATTAGTACATAAGAAGAAGATCAAAATTTTCAGAAAAACCCAAATGACTCTGAACGTACAAGATGGCCGGCGGACACCAATAACACGTACAAAGGGGCCACAATAATCATTTATATTAGCGCAGTATCTGTTAGGGAGCTAAAAAGATTTTGTCCAGATGGCATAGGATGTATATACAAAGTGAACTTCCAAACTTATATTGTAGCAAATGAGTTCTGCGGAATCCCTCAAATTGGCGCAAGCATTCTGAAAGGGATAATTGCTCACCAGCCCTTTGTTGTATGAAACGACAAGAAAATTCACACTTGTTTCTCAGAAAGGTAAGCTTCCAGTTCAAGAAATATTCGTCTCGGTGGGGGTATCAAACCCGCGTTTAGCCTTTTCCTCGTGCACTCATCACTACATTTCACTATCCTTACACCACGCTCTATTTTCTCATCGCCACTGATTTTTACGTAAAACACACGGACAATGTCAGCGCTCAGCGTTCAGCCTATCGGAATTTCGCTCTTTCCGGCTACACGCTGTTACCTCCGCTGGCGCTGTCGAAAACATACAAAACGAAGAAACAATTAACGCGCATGATGTTCATGAGACACAAGTTAGAACAAGCATGCAGCTGCTTGGCAAAGCAATAGTAATAAAATTATCTCAGATTTCACGTCCCGAGACCACCACATAATTATGAGAAATGCCGTAGCGAAGGGCTCCGGTAATTTTCACCATCTAGTGTTCTTTAACGTGCACTGTCATCCCACAGTACACAGGCATCTACCACTTTGCCTTGATCGAAACGCACACCGCCACTACCAGGGTCGAACCCGCAAGCTTCAGGTCAGCAGTTAGAATCTTAGCCACGACACCATGGTGGCGGACGCATGGCAAAGCAAGCTCGGAGACAATTCCCAACTGATATATCTCGTTGGTAGCCAAATCGTGAGCCTTATTTCTCATGAGATCACGTGAGCAGGCGGCTGGTGTCCCAAATCATGACGAAAAATATAGAAACTGCCAGTAAAGAATGCTCTTTTCTTGCGTTTTCAGAGGCTGCCTAGGGCATCTTAACAATAACGAAAAGCAACAGTACTTCATGAAAAATGGGATTGAAAGACTCGGAGGTCTAGCGAACCCTCCTGAAGCAGTGGTTGGTACCTGTGCAGATTGTGCTAGCCTCCCTCATAGGGATGGCGCTAGCCGGCAACCTGGGCGGAGGTGGTGGCGGTGGATGGCAAGGCGGCGGCGGAGGCGGTGGAGGTTGGCAAGCTGGAGGCGGCGGTGGCTGGCAAGCTGGTGGAGGAGGAGGTGGCTGGCAAGCTGGCGGTGGGGGAGGCGGCGGTGGTGAGTATAGTATAATGTGTTAGGAAGTAAAAAAAAAAACTGTGCTTATTTCATTTCGCTCACCTGATTGTGGCAAAAACATTTTACGGGTAACATCAGGCGTGAAACAGCGCGGCCAATAAACATTATTACGCAGCATTTGTAATAAAATGTTCACAATAGGCACGTAATGCAGCTGCTTCGTGTTTCATATATATCTGTACGCTGTCAGTTTAGGGTGCCTGACTGAAAAATTTAAAGCTATACTGCTTCAAAAATTGTCGTAATAGAACATGTAAAATCTGACAGGCATGCATACATGCAGCACCCTGAGAAAAAAGACTTGACAAAATGTTCAGATCACTATAGAAAGTACCTTCCAAGATGAAAATAACGGATCTTGCTCCAAAATGCGCGTATTTTGCAATTACAAGATCGCCAAACACTGTCGCTTGGGTCAAAACAACCTCACATCTAAGGTTTTCTTGCTCTTGAAAGAAAGCTATTATTCCCTAGAATAGTGTAACCACAGTAGGGTTCACTTGTCTAGTTTCGAGTAATATAGACGACATACTTTCGTATTTGGCATCTCAGCACAGCACAATAACGAACCTACTAAGTCATTTCGTTGGACTGATACATTTTAGGAGGCGAAAAGCACGTCTACATCATTCGAAAAGTCAACGGTGGTGGTGGCGGAGCTGGAGGTGGCGGAGGCGGTTGGCAGCCTTCGGGAGGTGGCTGGATGCTTGGTGGCAGCGGCGGAAGCGGCGGCTGGCAATTGGGCGGCGGCGGAGGCGGCGGCGGCTGGCAAGCTGGTGGAGGAGGAGGTGGAGGAGGCTGGGAAGCAGGAGGAGGTGGAGGTGGCTGGCAGGCTGGTGGCGGAGGAGGAGGTTGGCAAGCTGGAGGCGGTGGCGGTGGATGGCAAGCCGGTGGAGGTGGAGGAGGCTGGCAAGCTGGGGGTGGCGGAGGAGGCTGGCAAGCCGGTGGCGGTGGAGGCGGAGGCGGCGGTGGAAAGCACATCTACGTTGTCCGCACAACGAGCAAGTTCGGCGGCGGCGGTGGCGGAGGGCATGGTGGAGGTGGCGGAGGATATGGCGGTGGCGGATTTGGTGGCGGTGGACACGGTGGTGGTGGCGGTGGCGGAAAGCACGTCTTCCTCGTCAAGACTACTACAACAAGCGGCGGTGGGGGTGGAGGCCATGGCGGTGGCGGCGGTGGCTGGCAAGCCGGTGGAGGTGGCGGCGGCGGTGGATGGCAGGCTGGCGGCGGCGGAGGAGGCGGAGGCTGGCAGGCCGGCGGTGGCGGAGGAGGCGGAGGCTGGCAAGCTGGCGGTGGTAGTGGTGGAGGAGGTGGTGGCTGGTGGTAACCCACCAGCCCCTAGCTTCACCAGCAAGTCCAAGAAGATAAAAAGGGATTTTTTCTACACCACTTGTAAGTGCTCGTTGTTATACCCACCATTAATTCAAATGAATGCTTTGTCCCATTCATGTTTTTGCTAGCGTATCTTTTACATTTTCAATCCGTATTAATAGTGCAGCCAACGCATAACTGTCGTTTACCTGTGTAAGTACACCAACGAACAAACAAAGCAGAGAAATATCGCTTGCATGTAAACTTATGTATCGGGAACTCCAGATGAAAACGACCTACATCTTCGTAAAAAAAGTCCTGCAATGTTTGGAACTCTACAAAGATAGTGCATTGCTTTCTTTGGCTTTATTTTATGGTTGCAAAAACCGTCAACTCTTCCTGCATTTGTGCAAGCATCAAGATGTTAGAAATTGTTAATTTCGTTGAATTGAACAATCCTATTCCGAGTGTAGATAATAGTAACCACATTTTACTGTTCGTGTCACTGTTGTGAAAAAGTATTGAAAGGGACGTTGCATGTTGCCCGTCATTGTTGACACCTTGAACTGACGTTATTGCAGAGAGAGCCGCCTATCACCGCCATACCCACAAGAGATGGTGGAACCATGCCAAAGTCCAACACCGGTGTACCTCAGAGAAATGCGGGGAAAATCCTTGTATATGAATGTACAAAGCACACTTTTCATGTTGACGAATAAATACAAAATGCCAAAGATGGCAACATCGCCAAACATTGCTTCTATTTTATTTACTATCTGCATATTACTGTTTCACCTCCCAGCTACCTTCCGTGATAGGTGAATAATGCGCGGTAGCAAGCCGAAATGCAATAGAAGACGTCATGAATTTCTTTAAGCTAAAACAAATAAACAAAATGAAGGCTCCAGGAGAGTTGCCCAACAATACGCCGAACAGAAACAAATACGAACATATATACGCATCCCTTAAGATAACATTAGCGTTATTATAAAACTAATACTCGCTAAATCTGTTCTTCTGAAGCGTATTTTATACAATCCTGTTTCTCTTTGAGCGATATTTGCAGGATTAAATATTCAGCAGACAATTTAGCGAACGGCAAGCACTGACCTATTGATTTGATGATATCAAATGAGTGATAATTGCAGAGTCGTCTGTAAAAATAAAGCGATAGTGAAGCGCGTAGATTAACTTCAAAATACGGGGCACCTTTTGACAAAAGGAGTATTTTGTTAATAGAAGAAATAGGTCACGAAATAAATCAAGTAATTGGCAAATTTGATTCAACAGTTTATTATAGCCGTTACTATGATTGGAATAAAAAAAATAAATAGGAAAAACATTTTTCATCCCCATGTGCTTGTAAATGAACATATTCGTGAAAAGGCAGCCAGTATTTACTAGTACAACAAGGATTGTCTAGCAGACGAAAGTATGAATAGTGTAAGTTCGAGAATCTTGTATACAGCACACTTCGCACTCATACAGTGGAAATGTATCTCAGCCATGTGGTCCGGTAGTCCACCTGTCCTTAACCTGTTGGCTACGAGCGTGGGGCCACTGACCACCTTTACCCAAGCTTATTGTACAGTGTACTAAAAGGGGCAGCTTGCTCACTGCTTTATCCCTCCGCTACACCGACATGGCCCTCCCCGCATCAACAGATCGGGTGCCCACCAGGGGCACTGCTCCCGGTTTCTCTTGCAAACTTCTCTTGCCTCTTGCAGTGTGCGAAGCGTGTCAGCGCATCCCCAGGGATACGCTGGTTGGGCTGCTGTTCGGCAGTTATCAAACGCAGCGTCGGCGGTGGGAAGAGAGCCAGCACAATGACACAAGAGACGATAGACGTAGACATATAGGAACGGTGTGAAGGGTCATGGTTTTTTGTTACTTTTAAACTGGTTCAAGCAGTTGCAACTGTTTCTATGTGTGCATTCCCAGCTGCAGCGCATATTCACTCCATTCATTCGTTTGAAGGACGTTTGTCGGTACCGCACGTTCCACTTTGCTGCATTTGCTGAAAGAGATCGTTTAATACGACTAAAATTTCTTTACCAAATTATTAAAGGGCATTATAAGCTTGATGTTTCCAACATCATTTTCTTTTCTTCTGGGTACGCCACCCGCCAAAGGCATCAACTTACAATAACCCCTTTCCGGTCCCGAATTAACTGCTTCAAATATTCCTTTTTTCCTCGTACAGTAACTCAGTGGAATGGATTAACTAATAACCAAGTGATGGAGCCGTCCTTAGAGTTGTTTGCAGCAAATTTGACCTGATTGTTTAAATCATGCTGTTCTATTTTTTTTGTTTGTTTGTTTGGTTTATGCAATCTTGAGTGCCAACATTGTGAAAATTATATCTGTAACCACCCTGCTAAAATCTCTGTAACAGGGATTGCAGTATGAATAAATAAATAAATAAATTTGTGTATGCTAGTTATTGCGAAAGATCAGCACCTGTGCCTATCCGCAAATCGCAACTGTCTGAAAGACAACCTGCCGCTGCATCTGGAAGAGGACACGCGTTTTACAGCCTACGGCGGTCCCTCATCCAAAGCATGCCGTGTGCGTGTACAGCAATTTCCTGGGCAGTGTTTGACAACAGAAAAAGCTGGACCCATCTGGGAGTGACCACAACGTCAAGCACTATAAAAAAGAAAGAAAAAGAAAAAAAACACAAGGATAGTAACCGTAAAGCTGCTTCGGTCAAACTAGAGAAATCGATCAGTAGAGCATCACGAGATCGGTCTTTCTATATTTCAACTTTTGGCAGTTTACAAGTTCGCCAATCAATAGCCTATATTGCATGACTCGACGTTTGTTTTCTGGAAGGTTTTCTGTCGGTTTTTCCATTGTTTCGCCCCAATGTTTCTGTTGTGTTTCCATTAATTTTTGTATTTGACGCTGGTTTTAAGCATATATGCATAGAATTTTGCATGGCATGTGCATTGATCGTTTTTTTTATCAGAGTTGCATGATAACGACGTCGTTTCTACCTTCGGCCTTTGGATGCCTGCCGATGGGCTTTTGATGTACAATCACTATTCCTACATGTTTTTTTTATTTTTGTGGTCAATTAGCAGATGTTCACTCACGGTTGTTGCATGTATCTATTCTTCAACCACGAGTGACGATTACTAAATTTATATTTTATATTGTGTAAGAGCAAGCATTTGTGCATGCATAGACACGTTATTGGGCTAAAAATCAATTTGTCAGCAAGTGGTGTTGTCGAGTGTTGCTTTCTGCCCTGTTTTTTTATCAAACTGCTAAAAAAACTTCTGAAATTTATTGCTACAATGCAGTGAAATTACGTGTACGCATGTGATATGTATCACTAGTCATATACGCATTATAACTGAGCATAGATATTTTTACAGTGAAAGCTGTTATGAGATCAAAACTCGGGTCTCGCGGAGCGCCGTAGTTGTCCGCCGCCGTCGCCACCGGTGGCCGTAACCACATAGTGCGAAAATTAAAAAAAAAGTACTAATGACAAACTCGGGTTCGAACACAGATCCGCTGGGTGCCAGCCCAGCATTCTACCACTGAACTACGCCAGCTTTCTTTTTCCTTTATTGCCTGTTTATAGGCGCGTACATCAAACCACAAGGAAAACAAAAACAAGCAGTAACAGTCTGACAGAAATTAAAATTCCCTAAGTGCTGCCAAGAGCTCCACCCTCGACAACCACTAAGGTCAACTCTCCTGAGTTTTCTGCAGTTCAATAAACTTGGCCATACATTCACGGAAATACATTCGTGCAGGCCGTGCATCCTGATCGCGATAGAAACCCGCCATACGGGCCCGCCATAAACAGTGAAGTCCACATAGCATAATCAAATCAAAAGGTATTCCCTCTGAACTACGCCAGTGCTGGAAACTAGTGGGTAAACTTGCCTTAGGCAGGCTTGATGTTGGGAAAGCAATCGCGTTAATACGACTTATGAAGCGTTTTAAAACAGCGAAAGAACAAACAGCGAAATAACAAGCAGTCTTTGCACAATGCGAATAGCGTAATGGTTGGGTCGTCCAATGATCCAACGCATTACAAAAACTTGTTCTTGTTTTACTATTAACTGTGGTGCATACCCACTTTAGCTATAATTTCTAAACATCGTCATCCACTGCATGAACGATTGGCGCGAAATCGCTCGCAATAATTTAGCGGATACCACGCTTCTCAGAAGAATGACAAAAAATAGCAAAGCGAATACAAGCCTACTACCCGAAAATTTATATTGTTATTGACGTAGTCGGCATTAAGTGAGTGTGCTTGCAGCAGTTACCCAAAGAATGTTCAGAAAAGGCTCTTAAAGGCCGCTCTCCTAGCTTTTGCTGTGACTGTAATGCGTCTTCCGCACACGCCTGGCGTTTTTCTTATTAGATTCGTAGTTACCAAGTTCGCCTACAAGTACAACTGATCTTGATAACCTTGTATGATCAACGGGTGTAATTAAGAAGTTAGTTCAAATGGTGATGTGGATACCTTATCAGAAAGCCAAGTATTTTACTCGTGAATGATTCGCTGAGAAAAAAAAAGCATTGAGTAGGTTAGTTACAAGTAGACACGCTCTTATGCGAAAAGAAAAGAACTGGAAAATGAGGCCTTGATTCTATTTGCACAGTGGGGCTCGGAAGGCGGGAGTGAACCCGCTATTATCGCTACAGTGGCAAAACAGCATTGATCATCGTATCAAAAAAGCTTGAATGCTTCCAATTACACGTTCTGTTACTGTAGCGGCTGTGTGGAGGGACATTCATTTGTGTAATATCCGCTTTAAACATAACCCAGCTTCCATAAATCAATCGCAGTGGTAGTGATTCAATTCACAACACAAAGAAAAATTGCACACGCGCCATAACCATGACTTATGCACGAAACAGCAACACGCAATAGCCACGCCTTTAAACCCGCCAGAAAGCTTCAGATGACGCTGCGAGCCGCACCGCCCTTCGGCAACGACATGAAGTGCGTCACCAGCCCTCAGTAAGCACATTGCCCCATTCTAGCACATGATACTGACTGCATGTACGCCCTTGAAATAGACCGATCCCACCAGATAATCTGAGGATGCGCGGTTTTCCGTCAGCGGCACTGCCTCCATCCTAATTGGAGTACTAGGGCGCTGTTGTGGCGGCTGCTTGCTGCTGCTTCAAGTATTTTGGCGTTTAGCACGAATCATTGGTGTATGGGACGATTGATCACGCTTAAAATCTGAGTCCAGTCCTTCAATATTACTGTAATTAAGGTTACACTACATATCCTTGTGTTAAGAAAAAAAAGCAGTCAACAGTGCTTACATGTGTCAGCCAGGTCATATTGGCTGTTTATGCGTTAATTGGTCAATTCGCAAAATGTATATAATTATGAAAAAAACTAAATTTTGGTCCTCTCTGCCATGCGAGCAAAAATCATCTTTAGGGAACGTGAGCACGCGAGGGATACAAGTTACAACATGCGAAAAATGACTTCCCCGAACACCGCGATACTAGGACGGAGAAAAAACAAATGGGACAAAAAAAAAACCTTCAGATATATTTTTCGGCCAAGCAACACTTTTCAGGTACACTGTGTTGTCAGCGCAGGTATTTAATCATAGTGACGTATTAACAGGAATGGTTATGAAACCGTCCTGGTGAAACACGCTGTAGAAATTCGTCCGTGGGACGGTGACTGTCCCCATGTCATTTCAAATGTTTACCGTCACAGAAATCTTGTGACTGGCACAATACGTTTCTACTGCAC